CGGCGGGTGGGACGGGCTGGGCATTTGGAGCGGGTCCAACGAGTTTGGCGGGCTAACACGGGCCAATTTGCAAAACGGGCTAGTGCATGAAACCGGCCCGTTTTTATGTCCGGGTCCGGTTCAACCGGTTCAACCGGCCGGGCCGGGCCGGGTTTTAAAACCATGCACATAACTCATATTTAAAAATAGAAAAACAAAAACAGCATTACATTAAAAAGAAAAAACAAGATAAATAAGAGATGTTAGCTTATAACTATAGAAACATCACTCAAAGTTATCATCAAGCTATAATGTTCGCACAACCATATTTATTGTACACTCATAAGTCATATTCATATCCTCTCCAACTTCAAAACTTTGGTTATAGAATTTCATAGAGTTGCAAAATTAAATATAAAGACTTCTTTTAGGAAAAGTGAGCAGTCAAAACTTGATTCTGCTCTTTAATAACACCAATTTATATATTTTAATTTATTATTTTAGGTTTGATTATATTAATATTTAAATAAATCAAATATTTCAATATAATTTTATTAAAATGTTACATGATTTTGCTTTTTTCTCTTTCTTTTTAAATTAAAGGGGAGTTGGAGATAACTCATTTCATGTATTGTGTACTGCTAAAAAAAGACACACAGAGAGACAGATTTCTCAAATCCATTTAGTGGACACAATGTGACCCACTTACTCAGGTTTCCATCCACGCGGACTGTAAGTCCGTCACAAACTAACAATTGATTTTCAGGGAAGCAGCAGGAGATGATTTGCAGAACCCCCACCAGGATCTTCAACCGTAATGAACATGCTTGTTTCGAAGAAACCTGTTTGAGAATTCTGTCATTCTGCAAATCTAGGTCTTTGGAAGAGGGAATTTGTGTTCACAGCCCCATTGTAAAACTGGGACTTCAATATGATTTATATTTGAGCAACAATCTGTTGACCCTTTACGGGAGATGCTTTGGAGCAGAGAAAGCACACCACTTCTTCGACGAAATGCCGCATAGAGACGTTGTGTCTTGGACGGGGGTCCTTTCTGCATATTCAAAGTGTGGGAACCATGAAAAAGCGCTTGAATTATTTGATGTAATGGTAGCTTCTGGGGTGTGCCCGAATGAGTTTACGTTGTCAAGTGCATTAAGGTCGTGTTCCACTCTAGGAAATTTCAACTGTGGAACTTGTATTCAAGGTTACATGATAAAGCAGGGTTTCAAAGAGAACCCAATTCTTGTAAGTAGTTTGATTGATTTGTATTCGAAGTGTGGGTATACTGAGGACGCTTATAAGTTGTTCACTTTGGAGTTGGATAATGGTGATACTGTCTCTTGGACAACGATGATCTCTTCATTTGTTCAAGCTCAGAAATGGAGCCAGGCCTTAAGACTTTATGCCAATATGATTGAGGCAGGGATTCCTCCAAATGAGTATACTTTTGTGAAACTTTTAGCGGCATGTGGTGTTCTTGGGTTAAATCATGGGAAGTTGATTCATGGTCATATGATATTGTGGGGGGTTAATCTGAATTTGGTCTTGAAGACAGCTTTAGTTGATATGTACTCAAGATGCAAAAGAATGGAAGATGCTATAAAGGTCTCAAATTTGACACCGGTTTATGATATTTTCTTATGGACTGCTATCATTTCTGGGTTTTCACAAAACTTCATGTTCAAAGAGGCAGTTGCTGCATTTCATCAGATGGAGATCTCTGGAATTTTACCTAATAATTTCACATACTCAAGTATCTTGAATGCTTGCTCGTTGATTCCATCTCTGGAGCTTGGGAAACAGATCCACTCACGGGTCATCATTGCTGGTTTGAAAAATGATGTTTCTGCTGGAAATGCACTTGTTGACATGTATGTCAAATGCTCCCACGAAATAGAAGATGCCTTGAAAGTATTTAAAGCAATAAGCTCACCAAATGTCATTTCTTGGACCTCCTTGATTGCAGGTCTTTCTGAACGTGGTTTTCAACAGGATTCTTTTTATTTACTTAGGGCAATGCTAGCTGTTGGAGTAAAACCAAATACTTTTACTATGTCCAGCATTCTTGGGGTCCGTAATGCTCTAAAATCTGTTCATCAAACAATGATGCTACATGGGTACATGATTAAAACCCAATTAGACCATTACAAAGTTGCTCAGAATGCTCTTCTAGATACTTATGCCAGACTAGGCATGCTTCATGATGCCTTCCAAGTAGCTAGCTTGATGAGTCACAGAGATGCAGTCACGTACACAAGTTTAGCAGCAAGAATGAATCAGATGGGTCATCATGAGTTGGCATTGCACATCATCTCTGGCATGAATGATGATGATGTTAAGGTCGATGAATTTAGTCTAGCCAGTTTCTTGTCTTCATCTGCTAGTTTGGGCAAGATGGAAACTGGGAAGCAACTTCACTGTCATTCCATAAAGTCTGGCTTAGGCAGCTGGATTTCAGTGTCAAACAGCCTAATCGACATGTATGGAAAATGTGGATTCCTACATGAGGCACAAAAGGTTTTTGGGGAGATAACTGAGCCAGATGTGGTATCTTGGAATGGGTTGATTGCTGGATTAGCGTCAAATGGGCAGATCTCTTCTGCTTTCTCAGCTTTTGATGATATGAGGTTAGCAGGAGTCAGACCTGATTCTATTTCATTCTTATTGGTGCTTAATGCTTGCAATAACGGTAAGTTAGTTGACCTTGGTCTTGAGTATTTTCAATCTATGAAAGGAATGCATGACATAAAACCTCAGTTGAATCACTATATTTACCTAGTTGGTCTGCTTGCTCAAGCTGGCCGTCTAGAGGAGGCAATGGAAGTGATAGAAACCATGCCTTTTAGGCCAAATGCTTTGATCCACAAGACAATACTTAGAGCCTGCAAAGCACATAGGAACATACCTCTTGCTGAAGATGTGGCAAGACGAGGACTTGCGCTTGAACCATCAGATCCAGCATTCTATCTGCTGCTAGCAAATCTGTATGATGATTCCGGCATGCATGAGTTTGGTGAGAAGACTCGCCAAGCAATGAGGAAAAGAGGTTTGAGGAGGAATCCTGGCTGGAGTTGGATAGAGGTTAGGAACAAAGTTCATCTCTTTGTCACACAAGATAGATCACATCCACAGTTAAATGAAATTCATAAGAAGTTGGATTCACTCATGGCTGACTTCGACAAACATGGATATCCATATCAAGGTGATGGAGACTCTTCTTATCACAGTGAGAAGTTAGCTGTTGGATTTGGTCTCCTGAATTTACCACCAAAGGCTCCAATCTGTATTATGAAGAATAATACCATTTGCAGAGATTGCCATGAGTTCATGAAATTTGTGACTCGTTTGATAAACAATGAAATCATTGTAAGAGAAGGAAACCGGTTGCATTCCTTCAAGAAGGGTGAATGCTGATGCAGATGCTATGGATAAATTTCTTACTTGGCTCTGCTACAATTATGATAGATACGAGATTATGGTCATTGATGGTCATGATCCTATTGTAAATGCATGGCACAATTACCATCTTGTTCCATGAAATTTTGCTGCAAAGTTGCAAGTACCAAGCTTAAGAAATGTCTGCGTTGTATTGCTAAAATTCCAAAATTCTTACGCTTTATTCAGGTCCCTAACAAATTCTGAGCTGACAGGCACACACAGTGTACTTGCACCAAATGTCAATTGCATTATTTTCAAAGGAATGAAAGAAACACTGACCACAGAATTCTTGTAATTTCTGGCCATGGCAAGATTATTAGCAACTGTAATGTTCTAGTATCAGCCTAACAGTGAACTCCATTCAATCAAGAAAAGAAGACTGATACACGATAAACATCACATAAACAAGAGTACAAGAAGAAATTGCAAGTTCAACTAGGAAAACCTAAATGCCTCTAGCTCCTTATCAGCAGCATGCTACTCCTTTGACTGTGACTCACTGGAGGTTATTTTAGGTACATCATTTTTGGTAACAGCTTCTAGTGTCTGGTAGAACTCTTCAGGCAGAGGACCAGGTCGATGTAGAGGAATATGCTTAGGAACTGGAGCATCATTCTCAATAACCTCACATTCATGGTCATCAGGAACACCCCAAGGATCCCACTCTGCCAACCAAGCAAGTGCGAATTACATGTTAAACTAATT